TAGTAGTTGGCTGGGAATTTATTTTTGAAGCAGAGTAAAATAGTATTGCTGTTTTTTTAAATGTTGTTGGATAAAAAAGTGAAATGTGTAAATATTTTGTGAGGCGGAGGCAATTCTAAATTGCGGGAAATCATTGAAATTCAGTTATTTGAACGGTTTCAAATCATTTTTTAATTTCTAATGTAATGTTTAGGAATGCATTCCCAACGCAGGGTTGCCAGACTTTGGAGATTTATAGCCACAACCTGTACAATTTTAAATGGGGTGACGTCACGATCTGGTAACACTGTCCCAACGTTGACAGCCAACATTGGGCCAATGTTGATAGTTAATAGTGTCTCAATGTTAGCAGCCAACATTTCCCCAATATTGGTAGTCAACATCTCCCCAACGTTGGCAGCCAACATCGCCCCAACGTTGCCCCAGCGTTGATAGCTAAAGCTACCCCAATGTTGGCTGCCAATATTGTCCCAACGTTAGTAGTCAACATTACCCCAACATTGATATCCAACACTTTCCCAATGGTGCCCCAAGGTTGATAGCCAAAAGTGGCCCAATGTTGGCCCTCAACATTGCCCCAACATTGATAATCAACATTACCTCAACGTTGGCAGCCAACATTAATTTTTTTTACCTTTTCCTGAATATTAGTTTTACAATAATTTTTTTAATTCAAATAATTATTTTCGAAATTCTCGAGAAACGATCGATCACATAAAATGGTCTAAAAATGGCATCTTGGAAATGCTGAGGCCAAATTAAGTTATCCTGACACAAAAAAAAAACATTTCGAATTTGACGAGTACCACGCCGCCACCCGAAACCAACAACAATTTCCAGTTAAATAAAATGCAAATTAAAACTCGTGGATAATTACCTCAGCCAATGAACTCTGAATGGCATAAATGAAGACTCCCATTGCCCCAACGAGTGCCGCTGCGCACTGAAGCTTCAAAAAATTCAACCACGTACGGTTTTTCCACAGATGAAATACGAGAATAAATGATGATATCGTGCTCTCCAAAAGACACAGTTCACACCCCAAAAGAACTATGAACGTGGTTTGGTTATCGTGCGCCAGTGCATCTTTCGTTGCTCGGGCAGTCAGAAATACCGCGAAAGTTCCTGGCTTTGTGCACAGACACTGGGTCGAGCTTTCATCCCTGATTAATGTTGCTGAACACGAGTTCAAATCCCAGGACCCCGTGTGGTCTTCAACGCCACAGGATACGTTCCACGAGCCAGTGATATTCTGCAGATATCGCATTCTAAGTTCTATCTGGATTTTCGAGTAACTGCGGTCGTCGAGGGCGGGGGAGAGGGCCACCGTTACTAGACGAGAGTGAAAACGATACTCCAGGTCGGTTCCGTCCCTGGTACATTGATTAAATACTCAGATATTCATTTAATTGTATTTTTTGTTTTGTTGATTGAACGGTGAAAATGAAGAATTTATTTGTTAGCAGTTGAATAATTTTTTGGAGTGTATTTCACGTGTAATAGTTCTTCATTCGCATTGAATAAATCATTTATTTGATGTAATTGAAACATTTTTTAAAATTAAATATTAATTTTCAACAGAAATATTGTTGAAATGAATTTAAAAAATTGTGATATATGCAAAAGTTGTTTGAAAGGCTTCACAGGAATATTGATCAATCACTCAAACATTAGTTTCATTATATTTTTTATTTATTTGATTGAGTAGTGAATTTTGTAAAGAACGAATTTATTAACGTGTGTTAATTCTTCATTTCGATTGAGTAAATCATTCATTTCATGTGATTAAGACATTTTTTAAAATAAACGTTCATTAGTAACAAAAATATTGTTGAAATGAATTAAGCAATATTGATTTAGATTTTATATATTTTTCCAGTTGACAAATATTTCTCAATTTTTTTTAGGAGCTATTTATTAAAAAGAAAAGTGAAGTGTAATTCAAATTATTACTCACTCCAGTTCCTTAACATACGTAGTTGGCAGGAATTTTGTAATATTCTTATAAACAATGACAATTCCACTGAACGTCTTATTGATATTGGCATCGATGTCTGATTTCATGAGGCGAATTGTTATACTATCACTGTACCAATGGGGATACCTGGAAAAATGACGTTAAATTCGATTTTGCCAGCGGGAGATTTTCATGAAATTCCAGATTTCATTGAAGATCTAATGAAATTACAAATTTTTGAACAGCGAGATTTTCAGGGGATGAGAATCCCTCATGTTACTTAAATTTTCAGCCAAAATATGAAGATTTAGTACTGAATTATGTTGAATTTTCAATTCATTGAAAATTCATTTGAACATATTCTTGAATTTTCGACGGAATTCCATTCATAATTTCTGATTTCAATTCATTTTCTTGGAATGATTAAACTGAAATTCACAGTTTTCATTGATTTTTCCATGAAATTTTCAAATTTGTAACAATGAAAATCCTTCGAATTCCAGGGAATATATTATTTAATTAAAATTTCTAAAACTCATGCCAAAATTTTCAGGAAAAAGAATACGTATGAGAAAATTTGATAATAAAAGCTGGCGAATTCGTTATAAAATTCTATTGGATGCGTGTTTTTTTCAACAGAAATGTTCAATAAAAAATAATCTATAAAAAAAATTAATAAAATAACTTCTAATAATTTTTTTTCCTACGGAAAATTCCTCGGGCCAAATTTTCCAAGTCGTTTTATTTTATTTTTTCATAAAAACCGACGGAACATTAAGTGAAAAAACTTGGAAAATTCATGTCGAAGAATTTCTATAGAAAATCCCTCAATAGAAAAAGTTAAGAAAAGCATAAAAAGATGAAATTCTACTGATTTTTTTGATTAAATCAATTTCAATTGGACATTTTGTCAGAGAAACTCGCAGTGAAGTTGTGGAATTCTTCAATAGGATCGCAAGTCTAATAGAAATGCAATTGAATTCTCTAGGTTTTTCTATGAATTTTTTTCGTGCGTGAATAAATAAAATTTTCACATTCATTAAATGAAATCCTAGAAAATAAATAAACAGATAGAAAAAGGAAATAAATGAACAAAAAAAATTGTCCACAAATACTACTTACATGTAATCATCCACCGGCACCCGTAGCAAGTACTCCCTCCAGTCATCCCCAGCCCCATGTAACGCCTGAATATCGACAACGACAGATGACAGTGCCAAGTGCTTATACGGATAAATTAAAAGTCTTGTCCAATACTCCAAATTCCTCAGGCTGAGTTGCTGGAGGAGCAACTGCTTATCACGCGTCAGTACAGAGTTCTCATCGGTCAGTATCCTATTAATTATCCTCGTTAACACTTCGGCGGAATTGTACAAGTCATCGAGATCGTTTATTGAGCTTTGATAGTCCTCGATCATCGCGAGTATACTTAAGAGTCTATCGCCTTCGCCCGGGTACAGGGGTAATTTTCGGGATCTCAGTGCCTCCCACAGTGAGGTGATTGTCTTTGAGCCTGTTGTGTTTTGATAGCCTAATGTTAAACTTCGAAACTGAAAATTGAAAATTGATGAGAACGAAATTCAAGGGGGAAGGAAGGCCAAATGGTTCGAGTCCAACTAGTTTTCACGTAAAAAAAAATCATTCGAAAAAAAATTCAAATTCAATTTTTTTTTGTTTGAATTGAATTTTGTTTGCAAAAAAAATCAAATTCAATTTTTTTTTGGTTGAATTGAATTTTGTTTGGAAAAAAAATTCAAATTCAATTTTTTTTTGTTTGAATTTTTTAGTTGAAAGAGAAAAAAATAGAAAATTCATATTGAGGAATTCCTACAGAAATTATCCTATAGGGAAAATAAAATTTTAGTGTTTTTTTTTGGTAAAATAATGTCCATTGGACATTTTTCAACGCGCAGTAAAATTGTGAAATTTTACAATAGAATCGACCAAAAACTAATCGAATTTTCAATAGAAGTTCAATTGAAATCTCATAGAATTTTGCACAGAATTCACTAGATTTTTCTATTAATTTTTTCGTATGCCTCTTGTTGAGTTTTTTAAACGTCTCGAACTAAAAAGGGAACAGCAAAGTTTTTGGTCAGAAATTTCTTGTGGAGAAAAATTAGAACTACGAAAACAGTTTGAACGGAAATTTTCTATCTCTAAGATATTTAATTAAAATTGTTGTTAAAACATAATTGATTCGAACCATTTCACCAATTTTCTAGTGAATTCATCATTGATGGAGATTAAGGATATCCAAGTACTGATACGGAAATTTCCAGAATGTAAATCCATGATAAAATTGCAAATTACATTTCGGAAAGACGTGAAAATGATTTATTCTTTCAAAAACATGAAAAAATTTGATTTTTCATAAATAGTGTTTTAAATATTTTTATCAATTTTATTATGAATAATAAAATTATTGTTCAAAAAACGAAGAAGAATAATTTATTAACATGTGATAATCTTTTATTTAAAACAAATGAATTATTTATTCCTTATAATGAAGAATTAAGGAGTTCATTAATTAATTTCAAACAAAATTAACAAATAATATATGAATTCAAAATTAATAATGAATTCTATTCTAATAATTATTTACAATTTAATGATTAGAATGGAATTCATGCATTATTAATGAATCAATAATTATTTTTTAATAAATTCAAACAAAAATATTGTTAAAATGAACAGAAAAATAAAAAATAAAAAATTTTATTCCCTTCAAATGTATTATTTTTCCGGGCGGCTCAGGATCAAATGAACCAAAAAAAATAGTCAAAGTACTTGGATATCCTAATGTCCAATTAATTCGATAATTACATTGGAATAAGGTACTATGAACGGTTGATATGAACACTCTGAGAAATCAGGCAACTGCCAGACGGACGTCGTTGCGTCTCTCATGGAGCAGAGTCTCGACACTCTGGGCCCAATGAAGCCCCTGGGGCACTCCAGGAGGGCCTCTGAATTGGGCCCAGTCTCGGGCCAGATCAACCCCCACGAGTTATCCCGAGGACATATTGGTATTAGCGTGCGATTCACCACTTCAACTCTAACCGACATCGAACGCTGGGCTATGTTGCAAGTATATATCGCTGATTTCTGGAATTATATTGTGAGGGCAATACAAAACGAGTGGGGAATTGATTTTCTTTTTGGATAGCATTTTTGCTATTTTTGCTAATCAATCCATTAATTAATTATTAATGAATTAAAAATTAATTATTTAATTAATTAATACGTAAATAATTGAATTATTACATTGAAATGATTAATAATTACAAATGGAAAATATAATTTAAAATAATTAATATAATAATTAATAATGTATTAATTAATTATTTTAATTTTTAATTAATCAATTGAATAAATAATTAATTGTTTTCTAGAATTTAAAACGTATATCCAAGTCGAAGAATGGAATGGAAATTAATTACATCATTCACAAGCACATAATGAATGCAAATCCAAGAAGGAAGAATTAATAAATTTCATTATGAATTTTACTTTAATTAATGGCGATGGATAGGGCTCAATAATATCTACATTAAAAAAATAATTAGATGCCATCAATTCATCAGCCAACGATTCAAGAGACTCTTTGTCAACACAAGTCTAAAAATTTCATTTTTACTAACAATAAAAAAACATTATTATAAAAAAAAAAATTTTTTTCTAATACAAAAAAAATATATTTTCTTATAATACAAAAAATCTTCGGAAATGAAAAAAAGAACATCACGAAGACACTTGTTCCAGACACGAGAAGGAAACGAATACAATTGGTGAAACGAAAAATCTCGATTGTCAGTGATTTTTATATTTTCACAGATTGAAAAACTCAAACAAAATTTTCCATCATTCAACTTTCGTACTGAGATTCATGAAATCCGGAAGATATTCCACGGAGACTCATGCATATTTCTGAAAGTTGAACCGAATCCGGAGAGATTTGGTAAATCTCCATAGGAAGTGGCCAAAACCGCACGATAAAGTTGGCAAAGTATTGAAGAATTTCCATAGCTCTGATAACTACTAAACTCGAATCTAATATGATCAATACCTTCGGGATTATGTTTTAATCAGGAAGATCTATTCGACCTGCATGTAAACATTTTCCAGAATATTTCAAATGCGTGCACAACTTTAATTGTTTATTTTTATTTAAATTTAGTTTCAAATGTAACGATTTTTCATGAAAATTCTACTGAATATGTATTGGAACTATAAGAATTTTATTAGAATTCCATTCAATGGTATTTGTTTTTTGTAGCAATTCAATTGAAAATTATGCCACATAAACATTTTTTTATAAATGATATTTGTTTCTAAAAAAATGTTTGTCGCATAATTTTTAATTGCTTTGTTGTTTATCATTTATAAAAAAATGTCTCTAGATGTTGATTTTTCTGTTGTTTTTTGATAGATTTTATTATGGGAAATAAATAAAAATACAGCAGAAAAAAGTCGGAAAATTTACGGTCGCGAATTTCTATAGAAAAATAAAAATCTTTTGACTTTTTTCTATCAAATATCCCTTAACAAAATTAAATTTAACCAAACGTTATATAATCTTCTATAGAATCAGCGCAAAAAACAAAATTATTCAATAAATCTCTAACAGAATTTTTTTTATTTAATGTGTTTTTCTATTAAATTTTTTCCTTCACCCGAGCCATTTGTAGAATTATATTTGCCTCCCAATTATTCCGAGAGTACAAATGTTGTAATTATGAGTGAAGTTGATACTCATCGATTGCAACGAGTTCCGAGTTCTGTTGCGCAGAGATATTTATATTCGTTTGTATAAGCGGGTGGAGCAAGCGATAATTACAACGATTATTCTGGTTTTAATTATTTCAATTAATCGTTAATTTTCGTTATTATTCTCTCGTGGGGTAACGTCGATTGTCTTTTATTCTCATTTTTGCATGCGTATGTTTTAAATTTTTTTTTCATTACACACGAAAAATTTTGTATAAAAAAAATTCGGTAGAAAATTTTAGTGGAATTCTATACAATTTTTTTTAATGAGACATTTTCTCTAGAATTCCTCGACGCGGTTTTTCCAAGTTTTTTGTACTTTATTTATCTTGCAGTTTTATTAGAAAAATTGAACAAAAAAAGTAAAAAAAATTGGGCCGAGAAATTTCTATAGAAAATATTTCAATAGAATAAGTTGAATTGAAAAATAGAATTCTTTTGACTTTTTCTATAGAATATTTTCCATAACCATCTTTATAAAAAAACGCGTAAATAAATTGCAGAATTCTTCAAAATTGTGGAATTCTATATAATTATTTCTAATGAGACATTTTCTCTAGAATTCCTCGACACGTTTTTTCCAAGTTTTTTGTACTTTATTTATTTTCTATTTTTATCAGAAAAATTGAACAAAAAAAATTGCAACGCGCAAATAAATTGCAGAATTTTTCAATAGAATCAAAAATTACTAGAAAATTCAATAGAAATCCCCGAATGTCCTACCGAATCCGCAGGTATTTCTATAATTTTTTTTTCGTGCGTATTTCACTCATTTAAGCCTTTAATTATCTTCTCCTTTCTCTTAAAAATTAATTAGTTATTTAGTAGTAGTATATATTTATTGAATTCTTCCAGAAAATACAAAGGACTTCCATTCCATTCTTCCATTTCATTTTCCTTCTTTAAAATACAATACCAATAAATTCATAATAATAGTAAAAATAAAACAAAACAAAAATAAAAATATAGCAAACTTCGATTATGGAATGATTTTGTCATTCATTTATTTTGTGTTTTTCACATTAAAATTTAAAAAACGATGAATCAAGTAAATGAATAAATAAATGAATAAATGAATAAATAAATTAATTTTTGATTTATTAACAATAATGACCCCATTGTCACGAAAATAATCCAGCAAAATGTTTACCTGAGCATTAACGATCTTCAGAATGCTCCCAGCAGGATAGAGATCCTCCCAGAACTGATGCCCCGGTTCCAACTTGAGCAGAGCCCGATTCTTCGTCCACCCAAAGCCAATCCCAAGACTCCTCATATTCGGAGTGATACACAACAATTGAAGATTATTTCCTCTTTCGATGGTGGCACTCATGGGCACGACTTTAACGTCGGGCACGTCTCTGACATCGATATGAATATTCTTGCACTGCTCCATTCCCCAATCAACCACTCGACACGTGTATTGACCCGCGTCTAATAGAGTCGCTTTGTCGATTGTCAAGAGTGATGTATGCGTGTCTGAACCGTCATCTGGCAGTTCTCGATGCCATATTTCTCTGGGAGGATTAATGCTCTTCGTGAATACAAATGGATACAGGGCCGATCGATCTGAGTTTAGGACAGATCATTTCACACGTTTTTTTTTAAAGTGGAGGGTTTTGAAAGAAAAATTCGGAAGGGTTTTTGCTTTTTTATGCAAGACATTACGTTTTCTAGTTTGAAAAAAACCATTAGAAAATTCCGGTCGAGAAATTCATTTTTAAAAATCGCAAAGAAATTAGTCTCAGATTTTTTGAAGAAGTTTTTTAGTTTAAAAACGCAGGAGCTGCGAATTTTTCAATAGAATCTTGGGAAAACCGATGGAATTCTCAATAAAATGAAATTTGCTGGCAAATGCACTAGGGTTTTTTAGTTTTATTGTTCTTGAAAATTTTATGCAACGCATTACATTTAAATTTTATTGTTATTGAAAATTCAAGCTTTCATTGAAATATCCAAGATACGCTTCACACGAAAAACCCAATTTATTTGCAATTTCAGGAACGATTTCCTTTTAAATTGAATTCAAACTCCCAACCATCACCATCATCATCATCACCCCTGAAATTCCAGAAATTCCTGCCAGTGTAACCGAATGAAAAATGAATTCACCTCGTGGATTTACTGATATTGACAAGCATGTCGTCCTTATACCAGACGAATTTAATCCCCTCGCTCCCCTGGGCGACGCACGACAATACGAACTGATCCCCCAATCTCACCTCGTGCTCACCGACCCGCAAGCTCTATCAACAAAAAAGACGAGATTATCAGGTGCAGCATTGAGCCGCAGCCTCGCCACCAAATGCACCCAAACCTGGAGTCTTAATGAAGGTTTTTGCTGGAATGTGAAGTGTGTTGACTCCAATGTGAAGTCGCTGAGGCGTCTCCGCTGAACAAGACGATTCAGGGCCTCTCTGATTCTGTCCCCGTCGCCGGAGACACCGAAGAAGTGAAACGTAACTTCCGCCGACGACCTGTTTAATACGTGATAATTATTTTCGTAATCGTGGATTCAGCTCTGGGGGTGGAGATTGCAATCAACGAGAGTTTCGACTTTTTGGGGGGAGTAATAGACTCGTCTACCTACTCACGTCACATTCAGAATTTTGAGGTCCTCCACTGTTGATATATTCGAATTGCGGAGGTATTTCGCTAGCTGTGAATGGGAGAAATGACGACGTGAAATTTAATATGCCATGTGATGGGGAGAAAGAGGTTTTTTTCGGGGGGAATGAATGACACAGTTTTTAGACTGAAATCAGATCTTTTATTCAGATTTTTGGGTTTTGGAATTGGTAGTTTATTTTTGCTACAAACGTGGCGTTTAATGTATTTTGGGGACAGTGTTGTGTCTCTTGAGGCACTCTTAATTATAATGTACATAGGGATGTTTCTTCAATTGTTTAATTAGTGGTGAAGTGTCTAGTGGAGACAACAGTCATAATAAAAACAATATATTGAGAATATTTCTCTATTCGATCGAAATTTCGTCATTCGACTCAATTTCTTTTTGTTATTTACCGAATTATCTCTGTAACGAGTGGATTTACAGTACAAAGTCATAAAACTTCTTGTGTCTAGAATTAAATTTTCTACAAAAAATATCTAATGATATTTCTTCATAAAATCACCCGTTACCCAGATAATTTACCATTTACTAAGACACAAAATTGGGTTCGTGTCAAATTACTTCATCAGTTCCCTTTTGTTAATTACGCAATTATCTCGGTAAGGAGTGGATTTACGGCAAAATGTTATAAAACTTTTTTTATACAGGATTCAATTTTCTACAAAAAGTATTTTATGACATTACTTCGTAAAATCAGCCATTACCCGTATAATTTATCATTTAACAAGACACAAAATTGGGTTTGTGTGAAAAGAATTCATAAGTTCCTTTTCGGTTTTTGTAAATGATTAAATTTCCTCCAAAAATGTCTTTTAACATTCTTCTAATTTTCAAAAGTTCAACGAAAATCTCCATTCTACTGCAATCAATACAAAACTCGTAGACGAGACAACAGTCCCTCCTAAACCAATAAAATGAGAACATCTCTCAATTCTCTCAAATTAGTCACACAGTCAGTCCGACGAATTCCACTCCCACCTCCTCCCAGGGTGGAGCATCCCACTGCGTTTAATATCATATTCGTCCAGATAGGATGACTCAATTTCTATTTGTACAAATGGACTCATCATTTCCTTTTTATTAATTACCAAATTATCTCTTTGACAAATGGGTTTACGAGAAAATGACATAAATGACTTTTTTTATACAAAATTAAATTTCCTACAAAAAATATTTTATCACATTTCTTCGTAAATCCAGTCATTACCCAGATAATTTACCATTTGTTAAGACACAAAACTGAATTTGTGTTGAATGAATTCATCAATTCCTTTTTATTAATTACGCAATAATTTCTGTAACGACTGGATTTACAGGAAAATGTTATCTAACTTCTTGTGTCCAGAATTATATTGCCTACAAAAAATATTATATGACATTTCTTCGTAAACCCTGTCATTACCCCGATAATTTACCATTTGTTAAGACATAAGATTGAGTCTATGTCAAACGACTTCATCAATTCCTTTTTATTAATTAGGCAATAATTTCTGTAACGAGTCGATTTACGGCAAAATGTCATATAACTTCTTGTGTCCAGAATTAAATTTCCTACAAAAAATATTTTATAACATTTCTTTGTAAACCCTGTCATTATCCCGATAATTTACCATTTGCTAAGACACAAAACTAAGTCTATGTCAAACGACTTCATCAATCCCTTTTTATTAATTACGCAATAATCTCAGTAACGCGTGGATTTACGGCAAAATGTTATAGACCTTTTTTTACACAGAATTAAATTTCCTACAAAAAATATATTATCACATTTCTTCGTAAACCCCGTCATTACCCCACTAATTTATTTGCCTTTAACAAGACACAAAACTTGTACTCGAGACAGCAGTCTCTCCAAATCCAATAAATTGAGACCACCTCCCAATCCTCTCTCATTAGTCACACGATCGAAATGTCGTCAGTCCGACGAATTCCACTCCCACCTCCGCCCCGGCCGGGGCATGTCATCGCGCCTGATACCGTATCCGTCCAGATAAGATTATTCAATTTCCTAGTTCAATCGTACGAATCATTCAGGTGACTCGAAAAAGTGCTCCCTCGTTAGCAGAACACACGAAATGTCGCGGTGCTCCGAGCCTATGGCTGTTCGCAGGTCGTTCTCACGCACTCGCACAACTTGAATGCCAATTTCTCGGCAGTACGCCTCCAACAGGGTCATCTGCAAATGACTTGCGGAATCTGTATTGGCGTCTATTGGCACGACGCAGACACTTCGCTGCCACTCGCAGCCTCGTGACGACAGCACGCGCAATGTTGGAAGCATTCCACAGGTAATGTGGGAGTTATCGCCCCAGTATAACATGTCCTCCGGTGGCGATAATCCAGTTGATTTCCTGGGGGTACAAATCGGTTATCAAATACTGTATCTTATCCCCAATTTTTTAATCGGCCTTCGCGGCGATATTTTTGTGATAATGAATCACTGTTCGTTCTTTCCCAGCGAGCGCGAGGTGTTATCTCGGGGCTTCCAGGAATTTTTCGATGCAAAAATGAAACGATGAATTGCCGTTTTTGAAAGGCGAGACGCATCTGTTTGCTGTGCAATTATCTCCAGAGTTTTTTGGAATTATATTTCCTGGAGGTGTTCGCGACAGTTTAATTGGGTAATTATCTCGGCAACGGAGGAGTTTAGGAGGAAATGTCGCGGGACTTTTTTGTAGAGAATTGAATTTCCTACAAAAAATGTTTTGTCACATTTTTTGATACGACCAATCGTTGCCCGGATAATTTATCGTTCAACAAATCGTAAAAAAAGGACTTCTGAAAATGCTCGTCCATTATTTTGTAGTAATTACGCAGTTATCTTGGTAATGAGTGGGTTTAGAAGAAAATGTCATAAAACATTTTTTATCCAGAATTAAATTTCCGGCAAAAAATGTTTTATCAAATTTCCCCATAAAACCCCTCGTTATTGAGATAATTCACGTTTTAATGAGACGTGAAAAGCTGATGTGTGCGAAATGAACTCATCAATTCCTTTTTGTTAATTTCGCAATAATCTCGGTAACGATTGGATTTACAACAAAATGTCATAAGATTTTTTTGTAGAGAATTAAATTTCCTGCAAAAAATCTCTTATCAAATTTCCCCATAAAACCCCTCGTTATTGAGATAATTCACGTTTTAATGAGACATGAAAAGGTAATGTATGCGAAATGAATTCATCAATTCCTTTTTGTTAATTTCGCAATAATCTCGGTAACGATTGGGTTTACGACAAAATGTCATAAATTTTTTTTTTTGTAGAAAATTAAATTTTCTATAAAAATGTCTCATAACATTTTCTTCCAAGTCCCCTTCCCTCCAAGATAAATGTCCAATTAGAAAACCCTAAAAATCCCTCTCGCTCGCTGCCTCAAATAATTTTAATATTCTCACCTCTCCGCGATCCCAATCATCGGAACAGTTTGCAGACTCTCACAGGCCATGATCTCAGATAATTCCTTATTTATTCTCTCAGCACCAGCAGCACCCTTGCACACTTCACTGAACGTGGGTTGAATTTTCTTGCCTTTGAGGGAAATTTTACTGAATAACACCCCCGACTCTGTGTGCAGCACGTAAATCACGTGTCGATGCCGATTTATAATCCAGTTGCAGTGGCACCTCCCGGAAAATTTGAAATTGTAAGCGGCGGAAAATGCGGCCTCAACTTGTTTATTTATGTATTTATTTATTTATTTATGTATTTATTTTTCTTATCACTCGAACGTGAATTTCTTCTGGTTTTCGAATTTTTATCGAAAAGTCTATTCACTCAATCCGTTTCGCACTTGGCATGAACAATGTCGTCAGCCGAGTTTAACCCGCGGCTTATATCGATGTGATCCCCACCACGAGCACCTCCACTTCTCGGAAAGAGCATGTGGTAATAGCAAACAGTATGAATAATGTCGGAGGCGGTATTTCCCTGGCACTTGCATCTGCTTAATTGTTTATGGCGCTGAAACCTGTGAAAGATTCGCCTGCGGAAGATTCGTTTTGAGGGAATCTAGGGCTGTGCGAATATTTTTGAATCAGAAATGCAAAAATTGAAATTTTGCGATTTGCGTGNGTGAAAAGCTGATGTGTGCGAAATGAACTCATCAATTCCTTTTTGTTAATTTCGCAATAATCTCGGTAACGATTGGATTTACAACAAAATGTCATAAGATTTTTTTGTAGAGAATTAAATTTCCTGCAAAAAATCTCTTATCAAATTTCCCCATAAAACCCCTCGTTATTGAGATAATTCACGTTTTAATGAGACATGAAAAGGTAATGTATGCGAAATGAATTCATCAATTCCTTTTTGTTAATTTCGCAATAATCTCGGTAACGATTGGGTTTACGACAAAATGTCATAAATTTTTTTTTTTGTAGAAAATTAAATTTTCTATAAAAATGTCTCATAACATTTTCTTCCAAGTCCCCTTCCCTCCAAGATAAATGTCCAATTAGAAAACCCTAAAAATCCCTCTCGCTCGCTGCCTCAAATAATTTTAATATTCTCACCTCTCCGCGATCCCAATCATCGGAACAGTTTGCAGACTCTCACAGGCCATGATCTCAGATAATTCCTTATTTATTCTCTCAGCACCAGCAGCACCCTTGCACACTTCACTGAACGTGGGTTGAATTTTCTTGCCTTTGAGGGAAATTTTACTGAATAACACCCCCGACTCTGTGTGCAGCACGTAAATCACGTGTCGATGCCGATTTATAATCCAGTTGCAGTGGCACCTCCCGGAAAATTTGAAATTGTAAGCGGCGGAAAATGCGGCCTCAACTTGTTTATTTATGTATTTATTTATTTATTTATGTATTTATTTTTCTTATCACTCGAACGTGAATTTCTTCTGGTTTTCGAATTTTTATCGAAAAGTCTATTCACTCAATCCGTTTCGCACTTGGCATGAACAATGTCGTCAGCCGAGTTTAACCCGCGGCTTATATCGATGTGATCCCCACCACGAGCACCTCCACTTCTCGGAAAGAGCATGTGGTAATAGCAAACAGTATGAATAATGTCGGAGGCGGTATTTCCCTGGCACTTGCATCTGCTTAATTGTTTATGGCGCTGAAACCTGTGAAAGATTCGCCTGCGGAAGATTCGTTTTGAGGGAATCTAGGGCTGTGCGAATATTTTTGAATCAGAAATGCAAAAATTGAAATTTTGCGATTTGCGTGGAATTCGTGCGACGCGAAATTCATTATTATTTTTTGTTAATTAAGCAGTTATCTCGGTAACGAAGAGGTTTAGGAGATAATGTCATTACATTTTTTTTAAGGAGAATTAAATTTTCTATGAAAAATTTCTTATCATTTTTCCTCAGAAAATCACTCGGTACCCAGATATTTCAACATTTAACGAAACAGAAAATCTAGTAGAGAAATGCACTCATCAATTATTTTTTGTTAATCTCGGAGGCGGTATTTCCCTGGCAATTACATTTGTTTAATTGTTTATGGAGCTGAAACCAGTGAAAGATTCATTTTGAGGTATCTTCTAAGGCATATGTGAACATTTTTGAATCAGAAATGCCGGAAATTAAATTTTTCGCTTCACGTGGAATTCGTGCGACGCGAAATTCATCAATTTTATTTGTTAATCACGTAATTATCTCGTCAACGAAGGGATTTAGAAAAAAATGTCATCAGATTTTTTTTGTAGAGAATTAAATTTCTTACAAAAAATGTTTTATCACATTTTTTCGGAGTCACTCGATACCCAGATATTTCAACATTTAACGAAACGTAAAAAATGTACTTGAAAAAATGGGCTCATCAATTCCTTCTTGTTAATTACTCAATTATCTCCGTAACAAGTGGGTTTAGGAGATAATCGCAGAAGATATTTTATATGCAGAATTAAATTTTCTGTAAAAAATGTTTTATCACATTTCTTCATAAAACCCGTCATTACCGGGATAATTTGCGTTTTAACGAGGTATGAAACTAATTTTGCGTGAAAGGAATTAATCAATTTCTTTTTGTTAATTACGACCCTTGAACCTTCATTCCTAGAATTGAGTTTTCCGCTGGCTAGCATTCCGCTAGTTTCAGCTTCATTAATTATTTTTCATCCGGGAAAGAGTGAAGATGGAAATTCGGAAGGAGTTTCGTTCAATGTCGAGGAATGCTTTGAGACATTTCTCCAGTGGAGCAAATACGGTAGACGAATTGAATTGGGGAGATGAATCGAACGAACGTTTGAGGAATTTTCTCGTCGCCCCGGGGGAATTGCCTTCGTTATCGAATGAGGGAGCTCGTCAATTGTGATCGGTAATTGATTGCGCGTGGAAAAGTCTCTTTTGTCGGGTTTTTTTCGTGTTTTTGAGATGCTCGGGAGGGGGAGGCCCGCGGGGCTTTCACAACGGCACGCAATACCTCGCGGGCAACAAGTTTTTGGGTGTTTGGGAGTCATAGGAATTCCGAGGGGAATGATCGGGAGGTGGGGGAAGTGGTTTTTATCGGGTCGAGTTCCACGAATTTTTTCGGAATTTCGTCATACAAAATTGACATCAAATTGACGTCATACAAAATTGACAATTAGGGAGAATCAATATAATTTGTAAATTACGTGTCAGTTATTCAGGGAAAATTGATAGGCGTCGAGACAATTTAGGTGAATCTATTTTTTAATGTTCAATTGTTTGAAAATTCAACGTAATTTGGTGCTGGATATTCATGTTTTGATTTAAAATTGAAGTAAAATCGTGAATTCTTTTCTTTTGGCTGCAGAAAAATGAGGAATTCCCCTGAATTTTCAATTAATTCTGAAATGACAGATTTTTTATTACCTCTAAATTGAATTCCACTGAAATTCCACTGAAATTCGAGGAGGAAATCAATGAGAATTGTAAATTTCGGGTTATCTAGTCCATGAAAATTGACGAAAATCAGAAAAATTTAGGTGAATGTATTTTTTAATGTTCAATTATTTGATAACTCAACGTAATTTGATACAGAATATTCATGTTTTGATTTAAAATTGAGGTAAGTTCGGGAATTTTTTTCTTTTGGCTGTATAAAAACAAGGAATTCTCCTGAATTTTCAATTAATTCTGAAATTTCAGAATTTTTTTTACCTCTAATTGAATTTATCTGACATTTCAAGAAATTTCAATATTAGCAATTCACAATTCGACGAGAAAATCAATGGGAATTGTAAATTTCGGGTTATCGAGTCCATGAAAATTGATAGAAATCATAAAAATTTAGGTGAATGTATTTTTTAATGTTCAGTTATTTAAAAATTCAACGTAATTTGTTACTAAATATTCACGTTTTTATGGAAAATTTAAGTAAGTTAAGGAATCCTCATCTTCTTGCTGCATAAAAATAAGGAATTCCATTGAATTTTTTCGTTAATTTTTTAATTTCATGATTTCTTTACTCTCAAAATCGAATTCCAAGAAAAAAATGAAATCAAAATTTTTTTTTAATTGAAAAAAATCGAATTCCACTGGAATTTCAAGGCATTTCTTCATTAAAAATTCAAAAATTTATGGAAAAATTGACGGAAACTTGAAGTTTCGGTTCAATTATTCAAAGAACATTAATAGAAATTAAAAAATTTTAAATTTCATTAATTTTGTTGAAATTTTATTAAATGAAATTCTAAAATTCAAATGAATAGAATTCCTCGAATTTCAATTAATTAAAAGTTCAGAATTGTTTGATATTAAATACTCATGCTTTGATTAAAAATTCAAGTAAGTTGGGAAATCCTCATCTTCTGCTGCATAAAAATGAGGAATTCCATTGAATTTTCAATTAATGTTCAAATTTCATGCTTTCGTAGTCCCCTAAATCGAATTCCACTGAAATTCCACAGAATTTCTTCATTAAATTACAAAATTTATGAATGAAAAACAAATTAATTAAAATTTCAACGTAATTCGGTATTAAATATTCATGTTCTAATTAAAAATTCTAAAAATTTCAAGAATTGTCTTCTTCCTAAAGCTCAAAAATGTGGAATAACATTGAACTTCCAGTGAAATTTGGAATTGTATGAATTCTTTAAATCATAAATAAATTCTGTAAATTCTTCAAATCGAATTAAATTACTACTAGGGGAAAGTGTAATAAAAATAAATGTCACGAATAAAACATTTCAATTCTGGGGAAGAACAAATCGTCTTTTCCCAAACGCATATCACTTGGCACATGAAATCCCCTGAATTTCTCAACAAAGAAATCCTTGAAACACGAACCTTTCGACGGCATTAAGAAGGCACTCAACAGGAAAAAGTCGTCTTTCAGACTTCACTTCCTCTCGCGAATTACAATGACGCACTATTCAAGTGATTAAAATTACAAAATCATACATAAACATTAGTCATAAAAATATGGCAAAAATGCAGGGTACGACACTTAATGTCTACAACTGCTCGTGAGAAAAAGCCGACGAGAAAGGTCTGTTTGGCGTTTCATCATGCTATTCAGGTGATGATATTGGCGCTTGAAAAACACTCGTGACCGATCAATTTCATTTGCCCAGAGCAAACAGCCACTGACAGCCCTCGAAGGACATGTACTCCCGGGGTTCGAGTAGATGAAATTGAAAAAAATAATTAATTCTAGATAAATTTAAGAGTTTTGGGTGAAAATTGGATATTTTTATAACATTTAAAAAAAACAATGCCATTTTCACTAGACCAATTGATTTGTTTATGAATATTTTTACAAAATTTAAGAATTTTATTTCATTGAAACTATCTATATTATTATTTATTTGTTAAATAATTAATTATTCTAATCATAAAAAATAGTAATCTAATTATT